GCTGAACCGCTGCTGCACTGAAAACAATTTCACCCAAAACTGGCGAGTAAACCGGTGCCTCGCGGGTACCCCTATCCGCAACCATTTTTAACCACCCTGCCAGGAGTCAATTTAGGACATAACACTTTCGCAATTCACTCTGGAGAGTAGTAACCCTCCACGACTATTCGCGCACCAGTGGCTCGCGAGTCGCGACCCCTCCATCGAAAGGTATTCATCGACGCCTACCTGGCAGCAGCGCCCCACAAACCCCTAGGAGATGGTTTGTGCCCTCCTCCACGCCTACCCTTCGCCGACCAAGTCACGAGGGCCAAAAAAACTCCCACGCTTGACCATATTTGCGGGAAAATATATATATTATAGCAATCTCACACCTAGAAAACATCGGTGAGAAAGTTTCACATCGGTGGGAAAGGTCACATCGAATTCCCATAGAAATTTCGGCATGACTCAGTCACCGGCAGTCATGCAGACGGCCCGAAATCAAAGATAGGGGAGATCCGTGTAAGACGCCCAGGGTCGGTAAGAGGCCCCATCGCTTTTTTTACCAAACCAATAATGTTATTTATTTTTTAATGTTCTTGTAAAGCAGAAGCCCTCTTGAAACAACAACTCACGAAACCTGAGGTATCAGGTGCGTCGCAGCGACTTTTGGTAAGCCTGTTTCTGTTTTTGCCCCTTTACTTGCTAGATATATGCATCTTTATCACCCTTATATATCTGAAAAAAAACAATGGCTATCAAATGCAATCTTTTCTCATCGAAATTGTCACATGTTAGCTTCAGAATAGACCATGTTCTGGTGCGCTGCAAATGTCTCATAAACCATAAATATTGTGGACGTTAAAACACTGTATTTTTTTAAGAGGCCCTCCCTTCGAGGATGATAAAACGCCCCCCGATAAAAAAACGCCCCCGATGCTAAAACGCCTGCACCTGCGGCAGGCGTGGCATTCTTTTTTCAAGGAGTTTGTTTTTGTTTCTTTTTTCTGTTTCTTTTCTAAGAGGTTATAGGTACAATTTTCGTTGGTCATCAGCGTTTGGTTGTGCTAGTTTTCGCATTGTTCGAGCGCTTTGGAAGTGTTATTGGTTTCGATAACACCGTATTTGCTTAGCTTTTCGAAATAAAAGGCCTTGCAGCTGTGTTCGCAAAGCGTCTTTTACAAGTCGACTTGACTTTTAAAACGCCCGATGGGGGGGGGGGCGTCTTACCATACCCATAGTGTAAGAGGCCCTTTTGCAACTTTTTCCAAAATGTAAGTTTACGGTTTGTGTACCCCCTAGATTCATTTTGAATGCAAATATGTATGGGAAAATGATGCATGCTCACAGCGCATGCACACGTTAGCGCTTAAATATTATCAGTTGTCTAAAAATAGTAACTGAGCTTAAGGGGGGGCCTCCTGCACCACTCTCCCCTATGTGTCGCCGCTGCTTTCGTGACCTATATAAGAATAAAAATGGTCTCACTTGGTAGTTTCGGAAGAAAAAGCCTTGCCAATCGTCCCGTGATGAATATTGCAGAGGTTTTAAAGATGCACCCTAACAATTGTACTTTCGCCCCCACTTGGAAACCGCCAAACAATGTGCCAACATATCATTGGTTCAAAAAAAAGTTAAAAAATTGTTGTAATTCAAAACTGTATGAGACAACGCCATCTAGTTGTAACAGTAGATCCAACTCCTTCAGGGCAGGTTATGTAAAGGTTCGCCATCCACGGATACGCGTTTACGATACCTCGAGTAGTTCCAACTCTTTCTGGGAGGGTTGTGCCGATGACTCGACACCCGCGGGGACAATATCCGGTGCTGGGTAGCTACCTTACTGCAAACTGTGGGTACAGTGCATATTTACGAGTAATAAGGCAGGCAAGTCTGCTTACCCTCTAGCTAGAATCTGGACATAGCGAGTTAATACACATATACCACCCGCAGAGCAACACTTAATTCGCCAGCTTCGGGTGAAATTGTTTTCAGTGTGGTATCTACTGCTTTATGCACTCACTATATTTGTTTTCCTTCGTAACAATGGCCACCTTGAGCTCATGCTGCTAGGATGCATAGCTTTTGAGTTATTGAGAAAAATGTTGTTTTTCGTCAAACCGATCTAATATACCTAAGAGGTCTACGGGTGATTCAATTACGGCGCCTTTCTTGCATGATTAGTTTCTATTTTGCACTTAACTGTGAAGAACAAAGTTATAAACTTAGTTATAGTCACACTTTAGGAAAGGCAAGGTTTTGGCAATGTTGGGCTATTTGACATATACGTCATGATAATGACAGAATTTAAATTTGGGGCAAGACGGACCACTGTGGTCCATCTTACCCTGTGGTGGTCCATTGTACCGTGCATATGGAAAGTTCTTTTCCTAAACATTGACACAAGTTTAAGTAAGCTAATTTTTCAGGAAGTAGTCTTTGTTGCATGTGAGCCATGCATGCAAATGCTCAGTTAGCGTGCATTCATGCCAAACGACAATCAACACACATGTTCCCAGCTTTTAGCTGCACTTCCATCATACATGAGTAAAGAATAAAGGCTCATTTTGTTATTTTACCATTCTGGTTACTTTTTCTTACAAGAGTACAGAGCAGAAGTGTAACACACATGAATGGATAGCAGGAACTGCTGGGTGGTCCGTCTTACCCCACGTTTTTTCTTGTCTGAGTTTTTGACATGTCCCTCTTTAAGAGCACCCACCACCTAGATGTCTTTAATTTGAAATTTAGTCTTTACACATATCAACAGAGGAAGGATTGGGCATTCCGAAGACTATAAATAATATGAATTACGAGAGCAGTGTAGCAAGATATGCGGCCTCAAACCTTAGCTGGTCCGTCTTACCCCACCTTCCCCTACGGGGGGAGGGGGCAAAAAGTGCCCCCCTCACCACGCGGAAGGTGCCCACTGCCTGCCGGGTTAGTTAATAATCACGGAGACTGTCACGAAGCACAGGCAAGTATCTTTACAGCGCGGAGACTACAGCGCAACGTAGGCAGCTATCGCTACAGCGCGTACTGCAGCGCAGCACAGAAAACTATCCTCACAGCGAACAGACTGCACGGCAAAGGCAGCTATAACTCATGGCGCGGAGACTAACACAAACACAGAAAAGTATCCTCACAGCGTGAAGACTGCAACGCAGTATAGGTAGCTATCCTCACATGGCGGAGACTGCAGCGCATCACAGAAAACTATCCTCATAGTATAGAGACTGCAGCACAGCATAGGTAACTATCTTCACAGCATGGAGACTGCAACACAGCTATAGGCAGCTATCCTCACAGGGCGGAGACTGCAGCACAGCACAGGAAACTATCCTCACAATGCGGAGACCACAACAAAACACAGGCAGCTGCGGCACAGGCATCAGACTGTTGCTCAGCACAGGAAACTATCCTCACAGCGCGGAGACTGCAGCGCAGCACACGCAGCTATCCTCATAGCGCGGAGACTATAACGGAGCATATGTAGATAGCTATCCTCAAAGCGCGGAGACTGCAGCACAGCACAGGAAACTATCCTCACAATGCGGAGACCACAACAAAACATAGGCAGCTGCGGCACAGGCAGCTATCATCAGACTGTAGCTCAGCACAGGAAACTATCCTCACAGCGCGGAGACTGCAAAACACACAACTATCCTCACAGCGCGGAGACTGCAGCGCAGCACTCGCAGCTATCCTCATAGCGCGGAGACTGCAGCGCAGCACACGCAGCTATCCTCATAGCGCAGAGACTGCAGCTCAGTACAGGAAACTATCCTCACAGTGCGGAGACAGCAGCACAGCTCGCATGGAACTATCATCACAGGGGGTAGCCGGAGACTGCAATGCAGATGGTCAAAGAATCGCACTTTTGCTACCATTTTTGGCGAAGCTTTATTTACCAAAATCTGGACCCCTAACCCTTGAACTTGGCCCTTGACCTGGCCTTAGAGATCACCGGTACCTATATACCCGAACATGACTTTCCCAGGGGCACAGGGCACAATCTCGCCGGCACAGGGGATGATTCAACTCCCCTAAGTCAAATAACTTGCGTAAAAAGCGGCTGATCGCGACGACATTCTCAGTACCCTCGCGTTGATTAATTTCACACGTACTCTGAAAATTTTATGACCCTGACCCAAATGATCTTTGACCTGTGACCTACTTTCCGAGACCATGTTTGGTCGGAATCGTGATTCGGCGTATGTCGGCTCGCATTAGCCGCGCGTTTGCAGTCTTCGTGGTTTCAAGCGTTCAAACATGTGATTTGATGTTTCTCCCATGCATTAGGGCGGATGTCAAGGTCACCTGGAGGTCAGGTCAGGTCATTGACCTTTGATGACCTCGGTCCACTTTTTCGAGTTTTACATGTTTCTAGGTTAGTTTTTGGAGCTGAACTCGAATCTAGCAACCATTTGAACATTAACGAAGTAGTTTAGTTTTATTGCCTTCGTAGCATGTTACGAAGCTGTCAGAGGCGGTTGATACGTACTACGATTACCGGGCAGGACCCCTACTGGTTGACCTGACCTGACATGACCCGACCTGGCCTAAATACATAAAGACATCATCTGTGATCAAAACTAACATGATATTCGTGATCAGCACCCCGAAAAAAACCATAGTAATTAGTAGCCACACTTAACGACGTTCTAACAGGTCCCCATTTGGCATTTTCCCGACTTTTGGGTCATTGACCTGACCTGGAAGGTCAACCGATGACCTAGGGCCTTAAAATTGGGTATCAATCGGCTTCCTGTGGTCACGGGAAGCACGCTCCTTTTTTCCGCGAAGCTCTAGCTCGATCAAGGGCCAAACGCAAGGGGGGGTCGTACAACCCTCCTTGCGCCGTCGAAGGACGCAAAATGGCCTGCGCCGGCGAGGGTTAACATTGCAATTGAGTTGGGCATCACTGTTACGCTCATCCGCAATGTATTGACTGACGGTGCCACCGGAGCCACTCCCCACTGACCGGTACCTACCCCTCCCCCTCCTCCGACCCGCAGGCGCCGTCCATGGGCAGTCCCGGGAGGAGCTGGGCCGGCCGCCGGTGGTGCGGCCACCGGCCATCCCGCGCGGCGCCGCGCCCCGGCCACTGGTGCGCGCGCCGGCGCCTCCGGTCCGGCTGGGCGCCGGCGCGGAGCCGCAGCCGCCGGCGCCGCCGCCCACCACCGACCGCGCCTGCGTGGTGCGCCACGTCGGCGGCGGCGAGTTCAAAAAGGAGTGTGTCGACATCGCCGAGCGGTGCGCGCGACGTCAGTGTCCGCCGGGCACCGTCTGCGCCCTCAATCTGGACGAAGAGCTCGAGTGTTTCCCGGAGTCGGTGAAGAAGTTCCAGAGCTGCCTGCCCGACTTCCTGCGGCTCTCCCAGCCGTGTCCGGCCGACAGCGGCATCCGAGCCTTCGGCATGGGCTGCAACTACTGCGTCGGCGGTAACCCGTTCCAGCCCCTGCCGATACCGTCACCGCCGCGGAGCCGGCTGGACACGTCTGGCCAGGCGCGCCAGGTGGTCTCTCCGCCGGCCGCTCCGCCGGCGGCCGTCTCCTCGCGCGCCTGCGTGGTGACCGTCTCCGACCAGGGCGAGTCGGTCGGCGAGTGTGTCGACATCTCGGGACGGTGCGCGCGGAGAGGCTGTCCCGCCGGCACCGTGTGCGCCCTGGATCTGGAGAGCGCCATCACCTGTCTGCCCGGGTCGCTCACCGAGATCAAGAACTGCGGCTCGGAGTCGGCCCGGCTGCGCAGGCCCTGTCCGTTCGACACGGGCATCACCGGCTTCGGCATGGGCTGCACCTTCTGCGTCGGCGGCAACCCGTTCCTGCGCGGGCCCGATCCGCCGGCGCTGTCGGCGACTCCTGGCCGGCAGGCGGACGGCGAGGACAGCACGGAGCCTCCGGCGCCGCCGGCCGGCCGCGCCTGCCCGGTGCTGCACGTGCGGGACGGAGAGTTCAGCTCCGAGTGCACCGACATCTCCGAGCAGTGCGCGCGCCAGAGCTGCGCGCCCGACCAGGTGTGCGGCCTGACGCACGCCGGCGCCATCAGCTGCTTCCCGCGCTCGGTGACAGAGTTCCAGCACTGCGGCAGCGAGCGCAGCCGACTCGAGCAGCCCTGCCCCGCCGACGCCGGCATCAGAGGCTTCGGCATGGGCTGCACGTTCTGTGTCGGCGGTAACCCGTTCGCGTCACCCTCTGTCAACCGGCGCCGGCTGAACGGTACGACACAGGGGCCCGCCGAGGAGGATGTGGCCTGCGTGGTGCGTCACATCAGCAGTGGCAACTTCAAGCGAGAATGCAGGAGCATCCGCGCCGAGTGTGACCAGAAACAGTGTCCTGTCGACACCGTCTGCGGCCTGGACCTCGACGAGAACATCACCTGTTTCGACGCGTCCGTGAAGGAGTTCGAGAACTGCGGCCCCGAGTCGTTCCGCCTGCAGCAGCCGTGTCCCGCGGACGCTGGCATCCGCGGGTTCGGCATGGGCTGCACGTTCTGTCGGGGCGGCAGGCCGTTCTTCGGCCGGCCCACACCGACCCCGGTCGGCCCGCCCACCCCGACTCCGACGGCGGGCGCCACCGGCTCCGGCCCGTCCAGCGCCGACCGGGTGGCGTGCGTTAGCCGCATCACGGCCGCTGGTGCCGTGCGGCGCGGCTGTATGGACATCAGCGAGCTGTGCCAGCGCCGGCGCTGCCCGGCCGACCGCACCTGCGCGCTAGACATCAACGAGCAGCCGAGCTGCTTCGCCGCCAGCCAGCTGCCCATCAGCAACTGCGGCACGACGCGCCAGCGGGTGGCGCAGCCCTGCCCGGCCGATACGGCTGTGGTGGCGTTCGGCGCCGGCTGCACCTACTGTCGGCCGCCGGCCGGCGCGCCGCCGCCGCCGCCGCCACCCGGCGCGCCGCGCCGCGCCTGTGTCGTCTCCGGGCCGACCCGGCGCTGCGAGGCGATCGAGGCGCGCTGCGCTGAACTCGCCTGCGCAGAGACGTGCGCGCTGGCGCTGGACGGCCAGGCGCGCTGCTTCGCGGCGTCCGAGCTGCCGGCGGCCCACTGCGGCCCCGAGCGGCGCCGGCTCGACCAGCCGTGTCCGGCCGGCCAGACGGCGGTGGCCTTCGGGGCGGGCTGCACCTTCTGCCGGCCGCAGTGAGTCCGGCCGGCCCTCAGAGGGGGAGGGAGGTATGGGGAGGTATGGGGAGGACAGCAGGCGTGACGTCAGACTCGTCGGCCGGCTCGGGGTTAGCGCGGCTGGGGACTGACGGACAGTCGACAGCGGTATAATGAAGGTCGACCCGGGGGGCGCAGCCGGCGCGCGGCACAGGTCAGGGTCGGACAAACAACACAGGCAGTGATCGTTTGGTGGTAAAAAGCGAGCGGATAACACGGGCGGCGGACGTAAAAGCGTCCACGAATGAGACACCAGACATGTAACTGCTGCTTCAAGCTCTCTGTGCGTGTAAAGTCAACCGATGCTGTCCACCAGCGCCGTGTCAGATTACTACGGTGCGATTAGACATCATTTTCCATCATACGACGACAAAGGGCACTTCCGTTATATGTAGAACGTTTTAATCTTCGTTCGGAAGATGCTTGGTTCTCATCGCTTTGTCGAGTCGTTCTATTTTTTTCCTCCGTCTAGTTGCTAGCAGGCGGCTACGTAACGTCGTCAGTGAACACCTGCCAATCACTACAAATAAACGGTGTACAAAGAACAACGGCGTACCATTGGTGAGGTGTAAGAAGCATAAGAAGCTGATAAAGATGCGATGCCGGTATACTGCATTGCTGGTATACCTAATGCAAGAGATGCAGGCGGCCTCTCTACGCATGTCTACAGGGTGTCTCAAAAGTTCGTTCACACATTTCCCATGCCAATAAAGCATATAAGAACCGGCCAAAAGTATAAGGTTTTGGTGTCTGTGTGTACACTAGACAAATATGCATGCTTTGACAACTGATTAAGAAGGTTGGAAACCAACCCCTTTGCTGTATCTCCAAAAATATTTGCACATACCGATTTTTGTTGCTCCGTCAGCTGCCGGAGGCTGATAAAAGGTTACCAGCTTTCAAGCTCTTGCAGGGGAATCCCCTGCAGTTTCTGCGTCGGATTTAGTTTTGACTAGCTCCCCGGCAACATCTGATTTTCCCTGAAAGCCGACAGCTTGCATCGACACCATTCTTGAGTATTATTTAGGCATTCTCTGGCGCTAACTCCTTCATGAATGACTGGCGCCGACATCCCAAGCGCCATTTTCCTTTTCAAAACGACCCCAGTCCTGAACAAACGGAAAGTGCCAGGAGTAAATTTTTCGCATCTTATGGTAGCAGAATGTGTCTGACGTCTGTTTCTCAGACACATTGTGCAAATTTTGCAAATTCCAAGCGCTCGTCATTCCCCATGCCAAGACCTTCGCTCGGTTGCGGAATGCTTTCCTCGGGAGATGTCCTGCTTTGTAAACGGCCCAAACCTGTCCATCGTGTGGTTTTATCGGGATTTTGTGTTTAAAAGAAAATTATTCGCTGCAGATCTGCCTCTTGAAACTTCGTTAGATAAAATTTTACAATAACTGACACTTTTGGAGGGTCAGGTGTCCTTGGCATTGACGATTTTTGTGTTATTGTCCCCAAAAATTAGCGTTATAGGTATTATAAACAATTTTAAATTATAATTTGTCTTTATTCTACGATGACCTGCACTTTTCGAAAATGGGTAACCTCTTTCTGTGACCTTCTTGCCAGTTTTCAATAGTTATGACCGCATTTTCAGCTGCTTTCCGGAACACGAGTCTGCTGTCGTGCGAGGGTCGTTCAAAACGCCGTTAGTCTCGCATGGTTTCGTCCTTCAAAAATTTTAGCCACCGTTTTTATGAGATGATCATCATGTTGCACTCATCCTCGCCGACACTTAGCCATGTGTCATTTCCGACTTAACCATTCCCATTACTCCTGAAACAGAGAGTTTCACAACATACCCGACTTTGCAACCTACATTTTCGTGCCTGACCCATGGTCAGAGGTGAACCCTTTTTGTGAGCTCATGAAGGGTCGAATGCACTTGAAAACAATGAGACTGCTTGAGGAAGGTTGTCACCAATGCCCATGCAAAATTTCGACTGTTTATTTCTTGTTGAATCAGAATTATTGACAAAAAAGCATGGCTGGTACCTGTGAACGAACTTTTGAGACACCCTGTAATCCGCATTGTGGTCACAAACGCCCCCTTTTTTAAATAAATCGTGGTATTAACAAACAAAGCATATACGAGACAGGCATAAAACACAACCATTGCACAAAACGGCAGACCTGCCGTAACCTCGCAGCGGCACACTCTGACGTCACTGGATCACTCACTGACGTCACCGGACCACACCGGGCTATCACATCGCGGCGCTCGGGGCACAAGGCACGGATTGGGGCCGGGCGCTGCTGTGGCTCGGGCCGGAGAGTCCTGTCCTCCAGTGAGGGAACATCGCTTCTCCCGGGCCGATCCGGCTTAATGTGGGAGACGTTCGCTCGGCATGGCGCATAGCCTCTTAGCGCAGTGGAATACTGCCAGTCACACGCGATATCCCCAAACGCCGTAACATAGCCCACCCATCGTAGTGGAATGGTCGCCTACTATGTTAAATATCCTCCCAAAGCGGGCTAGCTCTCCGCCAAGCGCGGAATAAGTATCCAGCATTCGCCGGTTGGCGTATTCACCACACACAGGCTACCTACCTGTCCAACGCAGAGCAGCTCACACGGCGCAGGAGAAACACCCGGCACATAGCGCTCAAGGCTGGCATCGTCCGGACGGATAGGCAGCCCACTGGGCCGGCCAGCAGCCGCGGACCCCACCGGACAGTTATCAGCTATCAGTCCACTGGACCGGGTCCCCACCCCGGCCAGTCCACAGTTATCCGTCCACTGGGCCCGCGGCAGCACAGTGCGACCAGTCCACAGTTATCAGTCCACTGGGCCCGGGGTCCCAGCCCCGGCCAGTCCACAGTTATCAGTCCACTGGGCCCGGGGCAGCACAGTGCGACCAGTCGCGTCCAGGTGCCGATCACACACAATCCCCACTGCGTGCTGCCATTGGTACAGTTGTACCACCCTGTTACCCTCACCGCACTACTGCCCTTTACCCGATCACCCACTATCCCAAATCACACGGACTGGCTCGTAACACCCGACGGTAACCGTCATAAATAACAACACACGACTATAATGCAGCTTAGTTCCACACACTCCTGTGGTTCACGTGAATCGATGCCCGCTCACCCGTCCGCCACTATCGCCGAGTCGGTCCGGCGGTCGGACGGTCTGCAGGGCGCTCACTGAGTCATCTTCCATCGAACGGCGGTCTGCCGTCCCACACTGACCGCAGTAGGGGACGGACCCGCGGTCTGCCGTCCCACACTGACCGCAGGGAGGGGACGGACCCGCGGTCTGCCGTCCCACACTGACCGCTGGTAGGGGACGGACCGGCGGCCTGCCGTCCCACACTGACCGCAGGGAGGGGACGGACCCGCGGTCTGCCGTCCCACACTGACCGCAGGGAGGGGACGGACCCGCGGTCTGCCGTCCCACACTGACCGCAGGGAGGGGACGGACCCGCGGTCTGCCGTCCCACACTGACCGCAGGGAGGGGACGGACCCGCGGTCTGCCGGCGGCCCCACCGCCCCTCTCCGGTCCCCCCGACAGCAGTCCTCCGCCGACCACTGACCACTGACCGAGTCACTCCCTGGTGCGCGCTCACCGGCCGCTCGGACACGTCCACAGCGCAGCCGACCCGTGCACCACACCCGTGGTACGTCCTGATGTCGTCTTACTGAGAGCCGCGGCAGGGGTGGCGGCGGCGGCGGTGCCGGCCGGGACCAGCGCGGCCAGACGGGACCCGAGGCGGGTCGGAGGCGGCCCCATCGCCTCAGCGGACCTTCACCGATAGTCCGAGTATTTGCTGCCGGAGCGGGAGAAAACAGTCAGCCACCCAGTCATGGCCCGGCCGAGGAAACAGAACAGTCTTAGCACTGTGAGGAAATGGTGAGGGAAACATACCAAGCAATGCGAGGAAACGCCGTAGGAACAGAGAGTCACTGTCAGATCATGCCGGGATAAAACTCGAGCGCCAGCGGATGGGGCAGAGGGGGAAATCCGAGCACCACAGCTGCGCTGACTGGGCCCGAAAGTAGGGACGGGAGAGAGCCGGGTCGGCGCCTTTGACGCTCCTGTCGAGGAATTAGGTGGGCGGACAGCTGCGAGGAAACGTTGTGCCGAGACGGCCATTTATCACGGAAAGAAATCTGCCCCAGCGATGAGAACGGGATTTTTCACAGCCATCAAACGACATAAAAAACATGCAGACACAACGGGGACAAAACCCACAATTAAAGACGATACGGTGGTTCACAGTTATGTACAGTAAGTGAATGGTCCATCGATGATTAATCGAGCGGATGCCTTTCAAAGGAAATTCGAAAAGTCACCTCAATAGGCAAATGACTGCGTTTCAGGCATAGTGAAGCTACATCGTTAGTAGGTGGGGTTAGCCGACGGCTATTTGCTGAACGGCAAGGCAATGTTTTTGCAAATTTATCACAAAGAGAAACCCTAAAGCAGCTAAATACAAATAGGCACCTAACTACGTCAGTGCAATCCCCGATTTACGGGCAGGAGAAGATTGTCCGGCGTTGTAGCACGAATCCACTACTCATTCCTGGAATATATGTTCAAAGCCTTCCGCTGGGAATCCCACCGAGCCCTGACCTCGAGGACGGGTCTATTCGAACACAGCGATAATGAGCCCCACGCAGGACCAGCCCTCCATAATCGGGCACGACGGACGCGGCCGAAGCATGCGGACAAACCAGCTACTGAAGCTGTCGGCGCCGACAGCAAACTGCTGCTCCGACCGGAACCACCACCGGCAGCGGACGGACACCCTCAGCAGCTGCAGCCGGCTGTCGGCGCCGACAACAGACTGCTGCTCCGACCGGAACCACCACCGGCAGCGGACGGACACCCTCAGCAGCTGCAACCACTGCCTACCGATCACAGGGATAGCCCCTGGACGCCGCCCACACCCAGCCGGGGGCGCGGCTCGGCTAGACTACACCCAGTCGCACGGAAACCGCACGGCGACGTCCGCCCAGCACGGAACCCAACTAGTCACCCAGCGGCCCGCACGACAGCCGTCCTGAGACGTCCGCCCTAACATACCGATCCGGAGCGGCGGTACGATCTGAAACAGCAGGCAGGCCCATCAGGAGTCGGTCAGGGGTGGGGGGCACCTCCGACTACCAGAGGAGTCGTGTCGGCGAAAACACTCGGGGATGCATTGCGACTAGAAGTCCAAGTCAAGCTCTGGGCCCGTGCGTAATGCGCAGCCATTCCAAGCGTCAAACCAACTGATGATTGGCGGCTTGAGGTCAGGTCACGCTAGCCTAGCGTGTCATTAGCCCACATAACAGTTCCGGTGCAGTGCGCTTTGGAAAATGTGTGCTCGAGTCTGACAGCCAGCCGTCAGCCACGGGTGAGAGCTCTGAGGGCCGGCGGTAGCGGCGTAGTCGAGACGGAACCCAGCGGTGCGGCTCACAGCAGCCGGCGGTGCCACCAGTGACTCCCAGCACCCCCGTCACCGGACCCCAGCACCGGCGTCACACAGTTGTCACACAGGCATCACGCGGCGCACTGACCCGGAGGGGCGCCGCCCCGCGGCAGGGTGTCGTGTCGGCGGCGCCCTCACAGGCCGGCCACCAGCAGCAGCGTCCGACCCACTCTGCGCGGCGGCGGCAGGCGCGGCTCACCGACACCGCCCGGCGGGGACCTAACTACAGGGGAGCGGCGTGGGGCAGCAGCATGGGAAGGGAACTCCTTGTAACGAGGAAAGATTCATTGGTGATAGAGCTAGAATGACAGATGTGGAGCACGAAGCTAGCATATCATTAATCTAACATTAATATAGACAGACACTGGCTGGCTAAAAGAAAATCAACAACAGAATTAATCACATGCTGTTACAAAACCATAATTGATGCTTGCCGATTCGTGAATTCAACTACTACAAAATAAAACGGATCAAATTTAAACATCAAACGTCAATTTTCATGCCGCCTGATTTCATAAAAAGGCTTTGAACGTACAGCCCACCGCTTAAGTAATGTAGGGTTTTACCAATCTCAACGGTTGGCTTTGACTGGCGATTGTTAAATGCGGAGTGATCGAAAAGAAGATGTCAATAGTTCAAGTTGCAGCTGCAAGGGTGACGATACATATAAGCTACATTCAAAGTTTCATTGTAGTCTGGTTAATCGTCCCTAAGCTTCAGAAGCAGAACATACCCATGACTGAAACCGCACATTGCTTCTGCTGTGGACTGTACCTTGTCATAAATGAACGTCAAAGCACCAACCACGCCTCATTGCGCTACCTCCCTCGTGTGAAACTCCTATACGACAAAGCGCTCCGGCAGCTCGATGGCCAAGCTGACCCAGCCCCGTGGCCTCCCTGACAGATCAGCCCCGCCACCGCAGCCCACACCGTCCGACCCGGCCGCCCGGAGTCGGCGCCCGCCACCACCCGCACAGCGGCCCCCACCCCGCTCCCCGGGAGCCCGCCCCGCCCCGCCCCGCCGCCGGGAGTCGGCGCCCACCACCACCCGTACCTACAGCGGCCCCCACCCCGCTCCCCGGGAGCCCGCCCATCACCGTCCGACCCGGCCGCCGGGAGTCGGCGCCCGCCACCACCCGCACAGCGGCCCCCACCCCGCTCCCCGGGAGCCCGCCCCGCCCCGCCGCCTCCGGGGCGACGTACCGCGTCCTGAAGGTCTTGTCGCCGCCAAAATACTCGTTGATGATGAGTTTGATGAGGAACAGGTGGAACACGCCGATCAGCAGGAAGATGGTCACCCAGAAGAAGGTGGGCAGCCCGCCCAGCGCGTGGCCGTGCCGGTGCAGCGCCATCAGGTGGTGGTCGTGTGCCGGCGCTGCCACACAGAGTCACGAGTCAGGTCACACAGAGTCACGAGTCAGGTCAGGTCAGGGATCAGTTACCGGCCCGTGCGCCAGCGCAGTCATGCAGGCAGGCTCAGTCACCAGGACCAGTCACGGGTTTAGTGAGGACACGGAGGTGCCGTGCAAAGATCACTAAATGAGAAGAAAGTGAGCGAGCGACAGGTAGACAGGGTGAGCGAGCCATGAGATCGGGCGGGTGAAACAGACCATTGATGAACTCCAATTCAGCGGCCAACAGATCACAAAACACCACATACAGACAATTACTGCATCGTCAGCATCCGTCTATAAATCACATCCGTCTTCGTCTGCCGCACATAATGGTACACAACGCAGGACCCTGCCAGCGCCTGATCTTGTAGACATGTAGAAGCTATAACACAGCCGGAGCCGCCACCCCGTCCACCCCTGCCCTGGTCCAGGAAGGCAGGGTGAGAGGCCACTCACCGAGGCTGACCTCCTTCACGTGGATGGTGTGCTTGAGCTCCTCGAGGTGCTGCCAATCGGGGGTGATGTAGAGCACCGCCGTCGGCGGGTCGGTCAGCTTCACCGGGAAACGGGTCGGCTCCGGCCTGGGAACAGGGGGTGGGGTGGGGGGGGGGGGTCGGTCAGCTTCACCGGGAAACGGGTCGGCTCCGGCCTGGGTACAGGGGGTGGGGTGGGGGGGGGGGGGTCGGTCAGCTTCACCGGGAAACGGGTCGGCTCCGGCCTGGGAACAGGGGGTGGGGTGGGGGGGGGGGTCGGTCAGCTTCACCGGGAAACGGGTCGGCTCCGGCCTGGGAACACGGGGTGGGGTGGGGGTGGGGGGTCGGTCAGCTTCACCGGGAAACGGGTCGGCTCCGGCCTGGGAACAGGGGGTGGGGGGTGGGGTGGGGGTCGGTCAGCTTCACCGGGAAACGGGTCGGCTCCGGCCTGGGAACAGGGTGCGGGTCGGTCAGCTTCACCGGGAAATGTTGGGATATTGTGACCGCGGACCGGCCGTGTGGGGCCGTGGAACAGGGCGGGGTCGGCGGCCCGGCCGTCCGGCCGGCGAGCCGCCTGACCGCCGCGCGGTCATCGCGCATGCGCTCTGTGCCGTGGTTATATAAGGGCGCGACCGTGACCAGACTGGGGCAGTCGGCGGGTCGCCGTGTCCGTGTTTGGTCTTCGGTCGCTGGAAGCACAATACACCGTGTCGTGGTATATGCAGCTTTACTTGGCTCTAACATATTTTGGCGCGGTCGGTAGGACCAATAACGTAAATGGGCTGCATATGAGTTTTTAAGAAAGAAGATTGCTGTGAGAGTTCTGTGACGGCCTACGCAAGCTCACGGTGGAAAAGGTGGACGGAGCCGGTGAGTAGAGACTTTGGGTGATGAGAGGTTCTCTCCAGTAGAGTTCAGTATAACAAACTATGGATTTATCTACCATTTTCCTTTCAAGAGCCTCGAAATTTAGTGGAGAGTCGGGGGAAGTGTGGCAGAAATGGTTCCGCCGATTCGAAGCTCAGACGGCGAGCATGAAAGCCGGGGACCGGCTGGCGGCTATGGTGGGTCTATTGGACGGAGTTGCACTGGACACATTCGCGTCACTCACCGAAGAGTCACGGAAGGACTACGGCAGGGTGGTTGAAGCACTGAAAAGTCGGTTCGGTCGGCAAATAAGCACGTTGCAGGCTCATGCCGAACTCAACCGAGTTTGCCAGTCACCTTCGGAGTCTGTTGAAGACTTCTCAGCCAGGATCAGAGAGCTGAGTGGGCTAGCCCAGCCGGCTCTGCCCAGCGAACACAGCGCTATGGAGGGATTCCAGTGCGGCCGATTCATCTGTGGCCTCCGTGACACGCAATTGCAAGAGAGGTTAATCAGCCAAAACGTATCCACACTGACTGACGCGGTACGCGTTAGTAAAGAATTCGAAGAGACGAGGAAGACGATCAAGGCAGTGCGAAATAATGAGATCGACGTCATCGGGGCGGTCCGCCCGGTCGGGGGTGAAGCAACCGCGGGTCAAGCAGAAAAGACTGTGACGGACAACAACCGGCTCACAGCCATCGAAGATCATATTCGCGGGCTACACGAGTCGATATCGGCCATCACAATGGCGCCGAAGACGACAACTGATGCGAGTAAGTCTCGCCGACTTCCCCGGTGCTACCGCTGCGAGCAGCCGGGTCATTTTCAGCGAGACTGCCCCGAGCGTAGCCGTGGTTCACCTAGCGACAGATGCTTCGGCTGTGGAGAATTGGGTCACCTCAAGCGACACTGCCCCATTTCATTGCCGTCGACAAGGGATGGGCGCGCGCTGCCGCTCTGCTTATGTTGCGGGCAGCAGGGCCACTGGATGGCGGGGTGCCAATACTTCCAGGGTGGCAGCACTAGCGGAGGCCACTCCGAGACAAGAGCTGCTGATCCCCGGCGGGGCGCCGGTGCGCATCAGGAAAACTGAACCGGACTGGAGCCGTGGGACAGGTCCCAGTCCTCTCGAAAGCGTCCCCACTCACGGCGTCGGCCGTTTGGGTCGTCATTCACGGCGCTCCGACATGGGCGCTGGTGGACACTGGTGCCGACTTCACCATGATGCGAAGAGGATTTTATGAGGGGAACCCAGCACTCAGAGCAATCCGGCTCAGCCCGAGCGCGCGCAATGCTATCGGAGCGGGAGGTACCTCCCTCCAGGTAGTTGGTGAGTTGGAAAACCTCTCATTATGCATTGATGGAGTCAGCTTCCGATGCCCGGTAGTGACCGTGGCAGACGACCTCGTGTACGACGTGATACTAGGTCGCGACTTCACGTGCATGCATCGCACGGTCATCGACGACGACGCTGGCTCATTCAAGATTGGAACCATGAGCGTTCCCCTGCCGAGCCGGGAGCAGGTTCGCCCAAGACGTGCGCGAGTGCGATTACTGTCGAACGTCGTCATTCCAGCACGGTCAGAGAGCGTGGTAGCCGGTAAGCTGGAGAGAGTGGACGGCGTGCAGAGTGATGAAATGGGTGCAGCCGGGATATTCGAGCCATCAACCGTTGCGGAGCGGGAGGGACTCCTGACTCCAAGGGCTCTGGTCGTTGCAGACGACGACGGGTGCGTCTCGATCATTTTGACAAATGTTGGGTCTGAAGAAGTCCGTGTTCTCAGAGGCAGCGACCTAGGGACATTTTATGATGCCACAAACGAGAAGGACTGCGAGTATAAGTTGTGCCTGGCTGCAGACGGAGGCGTTGGGGACAGTGATGATGACGACGTTGATGATGTGAGCTGCAGAACAGAAAGGCGTCAGAATACGACGGTGACAGAAGTACTTGATGTGGACGGATCTGACTTCTCAGCGGAAGGAAAGGAGAAGCTCAGAACCATTCTCAGCGATTATGCAGACATCTTCAGTCAGTATGCGGGTGATATCGGCAAGACAGATTTGCTCGAACACCACATCGACACAGGGGAGGAGGCTCCCGTGAAGCAGAGACCACGGCGGGTACCAGTTAAACTCCGCGAGCAAGTCGAGATGCAGAAGAAGCAGATGATGAAAGATGGAATAATTGAAGAGAGTACAAGTCCGTGGTGCTCCCCAGTCGTCCTGGCCAGAAAGAAAGATGGAAGTTTCCGCTTCTGCGTCGATCTCCGCGCGATCAACAGCCGAACTCGCGGATGTGCGCATCCTCTGCCGAGGGTCGACGAGGCGTTGGATACCCTAGCGGGGGCAACGTGGTACACGACGCTCGACATGGCGACCGGTTACTGGCAGGTCCCGCTGGCCACAGAGGACCGAGAAAAGACGGCGTTCTCCACGGGCAAAGGACTCCATCAGTTCAGGGTGATGGCCATGGGTCTCAAAAATGCTGGAGCCACATTCCAGCGACTCATGGAACTGGTGCTTGCAGGTCTGGACTCGAAACGCTGTTTAGTCTACCTTGATGACATCATCATATCAAGCAGATCCGAGGACAAGCACATCGCAACGCTCCGTGATGTCTTCAAGCGAGTGAGGTCGGCGAAGCTGAAGCTCAAACCAGAAAAGTGCCGCCTCGCAAAGCGCGAAGTTACGTTCCTCGGTCACCGGGTCGCAAAGGAGGGACTCCTACCGGACCCACATAACATCCAGAAGATACTCGACTGGGCTCCACCGAAGACGGAAGATGGCATGAAGAGCTTCCTCGGATTGTGCGGATATTACAGCCGTTTTGTCCCACAATACATGGATCTCACGAAGCCGCTGAGGGAAGCCAAGGTGGTGGGTGACCACCTGACGTGGACGCCGGAAGCTGAAGCAGCTTTTGAGAGTCTGAAGCAGGCGCTGACTGCACCTCCAGTGTTAGCCCTCCCTACGTTCCGTGGTACATTCGTCTTGTACACGGATGCATCCGACTCTGCAGTCGGTTCAGTGCTCGCGGAGCGGGTGGGTGACACGGAGAGAGTCATCGCCTACGACAGTAAGGTGCTGACAAAGCAACAGCGCAGATGGCCAACATATGATAAAGAACTCTGGGCCATCGTTCACGCCATCCGGCGATTCAACCAGTACACAGTTGGAGCAGAATTCGAAGTCGTGACCGATCACAAACCACTCACGGGTGTACCGGAGTCCATCAATGTGGAACGGGACGGGACGGGAAGACGTGGCCGGTGGGCCATCGAGCTGAGCTCTTACCAGTTCCGGGTGGTTGTCCGGCCGGGCCGTGATCACGGCAATGCCGATGCGATGTCCCGGCAGCGACCAGTCAACGGCAATATCTGGACGGGCAAGCGCAGCAAGTCCTGTCCCGCCGAAGCCGGTCAAGCACCCGTGCATACCGCAGCTACAAGAGCCCAAGAACCTGCTTCTGGTGAAGAGGAGAAATGTGTGGGGAAGACTCGAGGCGCTGCAGAACGATTACTTGGCTCTAACAGAAACGGGTCGGCTCCGGCCTGGGAACAGGGGAGGGGGGTGGGGTCGGTCAGCTTCACCGGGAAACGGGTCGGCTCCGGCCTGGGAACAGGGTGCGGGGTGGGGGGTCGGTCAGCTTCACCGGGAAACGGGTCGGCTCCGGCCTGGGAACAGGGGAGGAGGGGGGGGGGGGTCGGTCAGCTTCACCGGGAAACGGGTCGGCTCCGGCCTGGGAACAGGGGAGGGGGGTGGGGGGGTCGGTCAGCTTCACCAGGAAACGGGTTGGCTCCGGCCTGGGAACAGGGGGTGGGGTGGGGGGGGGGGGGGGGTCGGTCAGCTTCACCGGGAAACGGGTCGGCTCCGGCCTGGGAACAGGGGGAGAGGGTTGGTCGTTTGCTTTCATTTTAGCGTCTGGTGAAAGGGCGGCTGAAACGCCGTTAGCATCTCGCGGCAGTTTGCCCCATTCGCACGCCGCCGAGTGTCAGAGTGGGCGCGGCAGCTCACCCCAGTTTGACGGGCGCGGCAGCTCACCCCAGTTTGACGGGCGCGGCAGCTCACCCCAGTTTGACGGGCGCGTCCAGCTCACCCCAGTTTGACGGGCGCGTCCAGGCAGCTCACCCCAGTTTGACGGGCGCGTCCAGGCAGCCGGCGTCGCATCCGAAGTAGGAGCGGTCGCTGCGGTCCAGCGACACGAACAGGTTGGCCTTGTTGTTGTCGTCCACCGCCACGCGGATCGTCACGTGAGTGGCGTTACCAAAGTTCACCCGCCTGTCGGACAGGGGGGGGGAGAGAGAGAGAGGCAGAGGGTGAACCGGGTCAGATACGGCCGTCACAGCAGGTCGGCGGCGAGGTCAGAGATAATGTGTTCAATTACACAGGTGTTGACTCTGCGCTCCACACCCACCTGAACACGTAGTCTCTGTGCATATCCTTGGGCTCCATCCCGAACTCGAGGTGCTGGTTGGAGAACTTGAGCGCGCCCATACTCAGGATCATCGCCTGCATGACGCCGTCGGCGCCCGCGCCCAGCATGTTGTGGCAGCCCTGGGGGCGAGCGAACCGACTCAACAGCACATACACAACCAACAGGTGCCGCCCCCAGCAGGCTGTGGCAGTCCTGGGAAAGGGAGATCAGCGGGTTCACACACACAGAAAACACGTGTGGCCCTATTCGCTTGACATTCCTGTCATTAGACGAGTTGCATTGGATGTGACCCGTGAACACATTAAAGAACAACAAGCCAGCCATCAGCACGCCCCAAGAAGCAGTTCTGGTCGACACCAAGCTAAGAAAATGCACCCTGCCCTCCTCCGGCCAGTAGTTATGCTGTTGCCGGCGCTGCTGCTCCTCGCTGTCCCATCCCCAGCTCTCTCCCGCGGCACCGACCAGCGACCTACAGCCGCCGCCCGCCGCGCCGGCCGCTGCCCTGCCGCGCGCACGCCCACCTTTTTCTCGAGCAGTAGCAGCCACAGGTTGGCCGTCTCGAGCACGTCTGCGACCGTCTGCAGCGGCGACCAGAGCCGGCGCGCCTGCAGACTGTGCAGCTTGTCGCCGAAGCACCCCTCCGTGTACTGCAGGTAGGCGGCGTGCTCCTGCAGCCTGGCCACGTCCGTCGTCTGTGCCAGAGCGGTCAGACGGCGCGGCGGGGTCAGAACGTACAGCAGGCGCGGACAGCTGGTGTTACGACACCACAATATAGAGGCCAGTGAGCAGGGAGGTAACACAGTCGGAAACACGTGCAACATTCGCTGCAAGACCCTATTCACGGTTCACTGACACTGCAGCGCTGAGCGGCGGACCGCTCGGCCCCGGCAGTCTCCCCACCCGTTTACCTTCTCGTGCAGGGGCGCGCGCGCCTGACTCATGACGTAGTACAGCGTGGCGTTAATGACGTCGCCGTTGATGACGTCATCGGCCAGCGAGTGTGAGATGGAGAAGCCGGAGGTCCAGAGGCGGCGCCAGACCTCGACGTGGGCGCTCAGCAGCCGACTGGGGTCCTCTGACACCGCCTCAGTGTACGCCTGACAGGGGGGGGGGGGGGGCGGTCAGCCAGGGGGTCGGACGGGCTGGTAATGCACTCCGTGGTTAGCTGTGTGCTGAGATACGGATCACTGGCGTAACGCGGCGCGCCGATCGACCGTGGCCAACAGCAGCCAACGGCGGGATATGTGCGGCAAAGAGCCCCGAATAAACACCCTACTGTGATAGTGGCGCAAGCTGCATTCCCCTCTCCATGCTGTAAAATGTAAATCGGCTATACCAGTAGCATATCGAGACCGTCTGGCGCACCATACCAGTAACATATCGCGACGGCATAAGTAACATACCAAGACGGGTATAACATACCGAAACGGTATCAGTAACATACGGAGACGGCCCCAGTGACATACCGAGACGGTACCAGTAACATACCTAGACGGCATCAGTAACATACGGAGACGGCACCAGTGACATACCGAGACGGTACCAGTAACATACCTAGACGGCATCAGTAACATACGGAGACGGCACCAGTGACATACCGAGACGGTACCAGTAACACACAGAGACGGTGTACCAGTAACATACCGAGACGGCGGCGCGCTCCAGGCCGAGCCGGCCGATGCCCTGCCGCGCCTCCTGGTCGCTGGCCGCCGGCTCGGTGTAGTTGACCGAGGTGATGATCCGCACAGAGGCCAGGCTGGAGGCCTTCACCTGCAGGCAGAGGTCAGATACGGTACCAGATGCTGTGGAAGGCGCGCGGCTGGCAGACCCCTAGTGTGTGCCCCGTGACACTGCTAAATCACTCACCGCGACGCTGTTGCTCACTCACCGCCACGCTGCCCGGCACGGTGGACGACACGACCACGACGCCGATGAACTTTAGGTCCTGTGTGCGGACCACGCCCGTCACCACCACGTACGGGTGGCTGTCCTGGCCGTGCACGACCCTGGGGGGGGGAGGGGTGTCAGACGGTCGGCGTACCACTGGGGACGGACGGGGAGGGGGAAAAGACACCCGTTCCCTTTCAGTCTTGCCTCCCACAGGAGGACGCCCCGTTGGCCGCCGTGTGTCGCGCGTACCCAGGCGCGGATACAAGGGGGGGGGCCATGGGGGCCATGCCCCCCTTGGCCGATTTTTTTTTCAAAAATAAAATAAAAAGTTAAAAAGCTGAAAAGGGGGCCTCCTGAAAATAAAGTGGCTATTCATGTTGAGATGTTGCCTGAACAGCTAGATAAGCTCAATAGACGCAGTTTTTTTTTTTGGGGGGGGGGCCAACAAGTGGGAAGATGGGGCCTCCAACAGGTGGGATTATGGGGGCCTCCTGGTTTCTAATGGCCCCTCCCTTGGAGATTTTCTGGATCCGCCCCTGCGCGTACCTGTCGTGTCGGACGGTGGCTCCCTCCCACTGGAAGACGCCCTGCTGCTGCAGCTCCAGCATGTGGTCCGTCTCGGTCGGGTTGCGCACCTTGATGTCCTGGACCAGCACTCCGGGCGAGATCCGGTGGGCCAGGTACTGCAGCGAGGCCACCCGACAGGCCGTCACACGGGTGGGGGATCTCAGTCTGGGTGGGACGGGTACCGAGCGGCCAGACGGACATACCATCCATGAGCGCAGTGGGCCCCGGGCACGGCCACCAGATACAACGACCCATGAAATGAACAGAGATCGACCTCTGATAACGGGCAGACGCTCGACTAATGACTGCCGCCGGCCAAACAATCCACCGTGATTGGACGGGCCACGCCGAACAACGGGTCTCAGCGACTTTCTCTAGCGCCACACCGACACATTCACGGCCGACGACCGACCCCTGCCCAGGGCCGCCTGTTGGCGCTCTGCCGCCGCCCTCACCTTGTACGTGACGTCCAGCGACCGCTCCGCCAGGGGGTAGCACTGCAGCCGCTGCACCACGCCGCCGGCGTACTGCAGCAGAACGGCCTCGTGCGGCGGCGCGGCGGCGCCCTCGAGCCGCGCGCTCACCACCGCCAGGAACGGCACGCTGACGTTGAGCGTGCGCTGGTCGCGCAGGTACAGCGGCGAGTCGGCGCGAGCCGCCAGCGCCACGAACCCGTTGCCGACGTAGGGCAGGTGCTGGTGGTCGCCGGGCTGCGGCGGCACGCGCGACACCACAGAGTCCAGCCGTCCGAGCTCCGCCTCGAACGGGTACAGCCGCTCAGGGATGCACTGTGGCGCGCCGTCCGACGACGCTGGGTGGGCAGGGGGCCGGTCAGCTGACGGAGCGGCCGACTGGCTGCTGGGGCCACGGCCAGCTGTTGGGGGTGGCGGTAACGCGGCACATACACACTACACAGCCAGAACTTGCTATCTATGAACGAAAAATAACTAGGAATCATATGAAGAAAATACTGTGTTGCTGGCCAATGAACACACTGGCCGCATTTATCAGTGTCTGTGGGAGCTGTACCCGGTCAGATTGGGAGCCCAGGTGACGGGTGTCCGGCTCCTGGCTTCCCCTGTGCACTGTGTACCCAGCCCGACTGGTTCGCCACTCACTGTGGACGTTGGGCAGCGGCACGGAGAGTCGCGGCGGCGGCGGCCGCATCAGCCAGCGCAGCAGGCCCGGGCCCACGTACAGCACCAGCGCCGACATAACGAGCAGCAGGAACAGAGCGCGCCGGGACCTGCGGCGCCACCGCAGCCTGATTCAGGTCAGCAGGTCACAGGGGGCAGGGGCGCCGTCAGCAAGTGTTCTAAAAATGGATTTCGGTTGGGTGTGCCGATAAAGAAAAAATAAACATAATTTCATGTCAGGATCTTCACAGGATTTGAGATTAAAGTGATGTGGATGCATTGAAGTGTCAAGTCATATGTAACCTGGCTGTCCATTTTTAAGACAAAATAATGCCAATTGTTCTTATATTTGGGATGGCCATGTTTTCCTCATTTGGTGTGATTTTCCACCCAAAATTCAGACAATGGAACACTGCTGGATATAGGAATGGTAGGTTCACAATGTCACTTAATACATAGCTGGTGGGGTCACAATGTCACTGGATACAGGGATGGTGAGGTTTCAGACCAATGGATACAGAGATGATGGGATAGCAATGTCACTGGACGCATGGATGGTGGGGTGACAATGTCACTGGATACAGGGATGGTGAGGTAACAATATTACTGGATACTGGGGTGGTGAGGTAACAATGTCACTGGATACATAGATGGTGGGGTAACATTGTCACTGGGTAAAGGGGTAATGGGGTCACAATGTCACTTAATACAGGGATGGTGAGGCCATACTGTCACTAGATAGGTACATGGATGGCGAGGCAACAATTTCACTGTATACAGGGATAGCATGGTTACAGGTCACTGGATACAAGGATAGTGTAGTCATCAGGTCACTGGATATGGGGATGGTGGGGTTACCAGGTCACTGGATATGGGGATGGTTGGGTCATCAGGTCACTGGATATGGGGATGGTGGGGTCATTAGGTCACTGGATATGGGGATGGTGGGGTCATTAGGTCACTGGATATGGGGATGGTGGGGTCATTAGGTCACTGGATATGGGGATGGTGGAGTCATCAGGTCATCAGACCACTGGATATGGGGATGGTTTGGTCATCAGGTCACTGGATATGGGGATGGTGGGGTCATCAGGTCACTGGATATGGGGATGGCAGGTTTGCAGTGAGCTGACTCTGAGGCAGGATCTCCAGACAATTATCAATGGTAAAGTTTTACTTAGATCATATTTCACAAACAAATAGAAACTTAGAGATGATCATACTAAGCAAATGAGGCAACAAATTGCAGGCCCATTCATTGGTCATGGAACTATGAAACTACTTGGTATTACTTTAGTCTACTAATTTGACTATTGTTATTAATATTACCTACATTAAGAAATACTTATGGATGTCATAGAAGGAAGAAACACATGCACTACAAACCATTAATAAAAGATGGGGGTTATATCTAATTAGATGCTAACTGTGAATTCAGCAGCAAAACTCACGAAACATTGCCCTCAAACAGTCTGCGTCCTGCTTTTATCATATCTTCCACCGTCATGGTTTTCTTGCAGGAAAATCAAAGATCAAAACTGCAGTACCTTGACTTGACCTCACAATCTGTGAGCACACATGACAACAGTCAGCATGATAATTGTAATTGCCAGCAGTGACCATAAAAAATATAGGGCTGGGTAGGCATCTTATCACAAGACGAAGCGCCAAGCCAAAGCTGAAGCGGTACTTCAAAATTGCCAACGTCAGCAAACAATCGCCCCCGGCGAATGTATTGGCTTTTGGAGAGGCAAGCGATTTGGTACCCGGAAACCTGAAAGAATGAATAAAATTATGACAACATCAAAGCTTCCAAGGACCAGGGGCAAGCAATTCTATACCCAGTTTGCAACCCAAAAATAAAAAATAAGACACACCACCAGCTTCCAATATCCCAATCGCAAAGCTCTCACTCGCTCCGACCTGGCGGAAGCAGTCGAATTATATTACAGCAGTTTTTTATATAAAAGGACATGCACCTGACAGCCTATTTTAATAAAAATGAGTACAACCATTCATAAAAAACGAATTTAGAAACATCTAATACTAATTAAAGGCGCAAAAACAGTTCATATTCTACTTTTCGCCATTACTAGATGAAAAATGACTATTTAACAACTTTTGTCATTAATAGCTTTTAGCAGTGTTTTAATAATAATTTTGCGGCGGCATAACATGTGCATGTGCGCCATATTCTTGGTCATAAGAAAGCACGTATCACTTATTTTGATTATTTTTTTGAGCTATCATCGCCTTTGCTAGATGTTGCAGTTTTAAGTTATTTTGGCGTTTTCTTCATCTGATTTCGAGCACAACGGCCTAAACAGGTAACAACGAATTAACCTTTTGCTGATAATACGTGTTAAGACCGTAAAGTAAATATTTATCACTATTTTAACCTTTGCTCTACTACTACTGTAGGTAAACAAATGCCTCTGACGAAATTCTCAAAGCCTAAGCTTCACTACGAGTGATCCTCCAGGTAATACCTAATGCATGTCATGCTTCTTGTTAAGTTTTGCAAGAAATTGTTACGTAGATCGAGTTCAGTTGGCGATAGGAAATACATTGTGTAGAAATTCAGGAAAACCACAGAAACTGATATCAGGGAAAATTATGCATGCACAGAAACACCAAACCCTCATGTAGGTGCCTACTTTCCACCTAACTTTTCCAAAAAGCTGATTTTTCTTGGGGGGGGGGGGAATCTTCACAAATGCAAAATTTTGAGTTTATGCGGTTGCTGGCCGGGCTTAAAGGGACCCTCCCACCTTCAAAAAAGTTAATGAATTGGCATGAAAGTGATGTCACTCGGTTCAGAAAGAGCAAAAACGAATATCTACCAAATTTCATCGAAAAATATTTACCGGTTTTCAACAAATTAGACTTTTACTTTTGTTTACTTTTTGGGATCTCCGCTGTTCCTAGCGACTTTATTTGAAAGTGCGGCATTTGTTGCGCGCAAAGCAGCATATACCACTGCGTGCTACAAAACGTTTTAGTCAAACATTTAACGGACGTTCGAAAGCCTGATGACGTCATCAGATTCCCGTAATGGTTAAGAGATAGGGACCACGCTGGTCCCACCCTGCAAGTAAAGGGAAGACATTTCTTGAACACCATAAAGCTGCGGGGGTTGCGACCAGGATAAATGGTGGTTTCTGAGCCTGGCCGCAAACTTGGCTATCTCAGCTCAGAACTAATGTTAAGGTGGGAGGGTCCCTTTAAGGTGAATCAATTTGAAACCGTTCAGCATGCATTGAATTTGATAGATAGTTGAAAGGTTTGCACAAATTGATATTTTTATGAACTCGCTTGCCTTACTCACATTTAATATTTATATGTGTTGATATCCAGGCAACAGTCTGTGAAACCATTACACATCTAGACTGATTAGACTATTAGGTAGTCGTAAAGCAGGCATCACACTTCTTTTTCCAACCAAGGAGAGGCGCTTTACCCAAAGATGCTATCTAATTAAACTAAACTACACCTAACCAAACCTGACCTAACCTTACCTACAAAATATACAGCCTACCTACAACCTAAAAAACCTACAACCTAAAACCTACAACCTAAAAGTACAACCTACAACCTAAAACCTACAACCTAAAACCTACAACCTAAAACTGACAACCTAAAACTGACAACCTAAAACCTACAACTTAAAACCTTCAACCTAAAACCTACAACCTAAAACCTACAACCTAAAACCCTAAAACCTACAAGTTACAACCTAAAACCTACAACCTAAAACCTACAACCTAAAACCTACAACCTAAAACCTACAACCTAAAACCTACAACCTAAAACCTACAACCTACAACCTAAAACCTACAACCTATAACTTACAACCTAAAACCTACAACCTAAAACCTACAACCTAAAACCGACAACCTAAAACCTACAACCTAAAACCTACAACCTAAAACCTACAACCTACAACATAAAACCTACAACCTAAAACCTACAACCTAAAACCTACAACATAAAACCTACAACATAAAGCCTACAACCTAAAACCTACAACCTAAAACCTACAACCTAAAACCTACAACCTAAAACCTACAACCTAAAACCTACAACCTAAAACCTACAACCTAAAACCTACAACCTAAAACCTACAGCCTAAAACCTGCAACCTAAAACCTACAACCTAAAATCTACAACCTAAAACCTACAACCTAAAACCTACAACCTAAAACCTGCAACCTAAAACCTACAACCTAGATGTTGGAATAAACAAGTGTGATGCCTGCTTTACTACTACCGACCATTATACAATATTAGCAGTGCAATGTGTTTTGTCAACCATTTGATTGGCTGTATTACCATTCAAAGTGGCTGGTACTGATACATATTACATGACCTCATCTGCTCTCAGGTCGCAGCTGTCATGCTGGGTCGTCAGGATCAGACCTTTGATGCTGACGTGGTGTTTGTGGTGGAGGCGACGGCCCTCAATGGCGCCTACCTGCCAGAGATGCTGGACAATTATATCAAACCCACATTGGAGTAAGTGTTTTTGGCTCGCATGGTCCACCATTCTTGTTACATTCCCCTGCTAGAGCCTAGATTCAGTTTATAGGTGAATGTCTATTTATGCAGCAGTATCACATGCTGTACTCCTTTAGGCATACTGAGTCATCACAAACTGTTTGTTATGCATATGGCATTTGATTTGTCTTGTGGTGTGCTTCTAGATACTTTTCCAAGATGGCCGCTCCTCCGAGCTCGGCAGCAGATCTGGCCAAATATGGCGGTCGTCTCTCTGGCACTCTGTTTACCCTGGTGACATTCACCGCGGGGGATGGAGTTCCAGATCCGCCCGTCAACTGCTGCCACCCCACACCGTCCACTGACAAGTTTTTACAATACCTCGAGCATGCTGAGTGAGTTGAGAGGGGCAGGGGACTGCTGGGGCAGTGCAGACAGGAGATGCATCAATTGTGGTGTGATTATCTAACTACGCTTGGATGAAGCTGATTCATTTGGATATTCTTGGTGCCATTTATAGGTGAAATGCAGTGTTGTGCCAAACTGTTGCTCCTCTTGCTGATCGTCATGTGGCTGTCTATCATTGCTGCCTCAGTCAAAGGCGACTTCCACGCCCGACCCTCTCCGCGGCAGGTACATCGGCGGCACGTGCGACAACGTCTCGTGCATCGCCGAGGGTGTGGCGTGCGCGCTGCAGTGTTTCGACGACCTGAAGCAGCAGCTGCGGGAGCCGTCGTCCTCTGGGCCGGCGCAGCGCCACCTGGTGTTGGTGTGCAACTCGCTGCCGTTCCAGCTGCCCGTCCAGGAGACGCCCAGCTTCCTGGGTGCCGGCATGGACCAGCTGATCGCCGGCATCCACGAGGTGCCGGCCGGACGGGGGGTGGCTTGATGGCCTGGTGGAGCGCAGAGTGGGGTAGGGTGAGGTGACGGTGCGCAGCGTAGTAATGGTCAGGTTGACACACTTCAGTTGTATATTTACTACACTCTTGTTTGGTAGGATGATGCATTTGGCAGCTGGTGAAATGTCCATTGCTCTAGACAGAAACCCATGCTGTCGTGAAGAGCTGAGAACGACGGCCGTTTTCTCGGAGCAGGTCCGTGTCTCCCGTTGTCCGCCCGGTGCTGACGTTTCCCCTCTCGGCAGCGCTCGATCTACTTCTCCGTGATGTGTCCGCGGCGGCTGGGTGGCATCCAGAAGCTGTTTGAGCAGGCGGGAGGCGACGTGGCGCTGAACCACGCCAAAAACTACACGCGCGACCCGCACCACCTGATTCTGCTCAACGGGTTCAGGTGGGTAGTCCCCCGCCACCGGCCCCGAGCTCCCCTACTCAGCTCTGGGATTCGCTGTAGTTTCTCACTTTCCGGTGACGCCTTGACCTGCTCCAGCCTTGCTTTCGGTACTGTCGGCTGCCGTCCGACATGCCCAACCATCCACCACATCTTTGTGTTGCTCTGACTGACCCGCGCCGCTGTGTGCCCGCGCAGTCTGCAGGAGCAGGCGAGCAGCCAGCCGCCGCCGCAGCAGGTGCCGCAGCAGATGCCGCAGCAGATCGTCATATCAGCCGGCATGCAGCCGCAGCAGCAAGGTGCCGAAATACGGACGGCTCGAACCGTTACAATATTCACTTGATATATATATTTTTTTTTAATCTTTAAAGACATTATTACTAAGGCGTCCTTGGATAATTATGATGAATCGTGATGGATTTCGCTTTATCTGCAATGACCGTGTCCGTGTGCAGGTACTTGTACTTGAGTGTGTATGTGTGAGTGTGTGTGACGGTTCCGGCAGGCGCGCCCATCAACACTCTGACGCCGGGGATGAGCCAGCCGCCGCAGGGCGCCATGAGCCAGCCGCAGATGATCATCAACATGGCCCAGATGCGCACCACCACGCCGCCCAACCAGCGCGCCAGCCCGGTGCCCAGCCAGGGCTACCAGCACCGCCCGGTGGGTACATCTGCGGCAGCCGGACCTGGGCGGGGCGACGGGTGGGCAGCTGGAGTGTGGCGCTGGGGAGACTGGGGGAATCCAGCTGCAGCGAGCGCAGCTAGTTTACTTTACTATTGAGTAGTTAGTACCCGTTCCGACGTCTGACTGTTGGGACTTGGCCGACCTCTCTGACCCCTGACCTCTGACTGCTGACATCTCTGACCTCTGACCGCTGACCGCTGACCTCCGTCCCCCAGATTATGGTGCGCGGTCAGCAGATGATGCAGGCGGGCCGTCCGACGGGCCCGGCCGGGATGCAGGTGATGTCCGGCCTGCGCCAGCAGGGCCCGCCCAACGTCACCGTGCAGACGCCGGCCGGCCAGGGCCTGATGGGCGGCCCGCAGCTGTGGCAGGGCCAGCAGATGGGCCAGCAGCAGGGCATGACCGGTACGGAGCACTCGCCGTCCGCGGGGCGCCACTCGGGACGGGCAGCTGCCATAGGGGTCCGGCCCGGCACTGGGGCTGACTGTGCGGCGGCCGGAGGCGGAAAATCACCGTTATCCTGGGCCGTGGCGTGTTTCTTTTTGTGGGAGCCTGATAATTAATTTATCGATCTAAAAAAAAATGTTGGTGCTGTTTTGCCCCCTAAATAGTTCCATGAAATGAATATGACGGCTGTCACCCGCCGCCTCGATTACTATTGGTCGCCGCTCGCTGATCCCGTCCTGCGGCAGGTGTTCCTCAGACGCCCCGTCCTCCGGCAGGTGTTCCTCAGACGCCCCGTCCTCCGGCAGGTATTCCTCAGACGTCGATGCCCCAGTCAGTGGGCGTTCCGGCGGAGAACTCGGTGCTCAGGTCGCAGCTGAACAAGCCGCCGATGGCCACCAATCCACAGCAGAACCAGGTCTTCCTTCAGCAGCAGCAGCAGCAGCAGCAGCAGCAGCAGCAGCCGGGAATGCAGCAGGGTGAGTGGGTCACAGTCAGCAGCGGCCGGGGTGACCCGATTGGGCCCGCTGTCCATGAGCTGTTCGTCTCCGCAGTACCGGTATAGTTGGTGGTATGATGCGGACACTGTCCGGTTTGGTTTGTCCTTGTCCGCAGTGTCCGGTATGGTCGATGGTATGATGTGTCCGGTTTCTCCGTGTCCGCAGTGCCCGGTATGGTCGGTGGTATGATGCGGGCGCAGGTGCCGCGTTTCGGCATCCAACAGCAGCAGCAACAGCAACAACAGCAACAGCAACAACAGCAGCAGCAGCAGCAGCAGCAGCAGCAACCCAAGCCGCCCCAGCAGCAGCAGGGTATGGTGGGCCAGCCGGGACCCAGCATGCAGCAGCCGCAGTTCCAGCAGCAGCAGCAGCAGGCCCAGCAGCAGCAGCAGCAGCAGCCTAGGATGCAGCAGCAGCAGCACCCGGTATGCAGGCTGGTGCATCACAAATAGGTACTCGCAACTCACTAACAACGTACACTATTCAATTACGCAGATGAGGTTGTCTGGGTAGCTATACCGTTCCATTGGGACCGTTGGGGCGTGGTCGCGTTGTCCCCCCAGTTCCTGGCTCGCTGAGCACAGGCACTGCAGCGGCGTCCGTATCTGTCCGTGCGCCTGACGGCTCCCTCCGTGCGCAGGTGAAGATCTGGGAGGGCACGCTCGAGTGGTCCGAAAAGAGGATGGGCGAGGCCAACAAGCAGGTGCACTCGATCCCGTGTCAGCTGAGCTGCAGCGCCAACGCCAACGGAGAGCCCGAAGTGTGAGTCGGAGTCCGGACTGGTCCGAGTCGCAGTCACGGGGGTCCCGACTGGCCACATGGGGGTCCCGACTGGCCACATGGGGGTCTGGACTGGCCACACTGGTCCGAGCCGGAGTTACTGGTGCCAGATGGGTGACCAGGACAGGGGATAGGAGGAGATGCTAATAGGCAGGGGAGATAGCGAAGAGCCTCCCCTGGGATCAAACAAACGACGATAGAGTGAACCGATATGCAGGCCCATCCACTTATTTGTCTACACATACTTGTGGAAAGTCACTTGGTGAAATATTGTAGCCTCGGCACACGATATGCGGTCGCCGACTTACTCGATGTGCAGCCGGGGCCGCGGTTTTACTGACTAAACTCCAGTGTGTTGTCCGTGAGTGACCGTTTTCTTCCCTCTCCCGCACCGCAGGAAGGCGGACAACTGGCCCAACAAGCTGATGATGCAGCTCATCAACCGCAACGTCATCAGCACCATCGGCAAGGCCTACTTCGACAACATCCGCTCGGTCAAGTTCAACCTGCAGCCGTGCGAGCCGCTGGAGCGACTCAGCCAAGTGATGAGCAGCGGCAGCGTGAGTGGCCGGGACGGGACGGTGTCACCGGACGGGTCACGGGACGGTGTGGTGTCACCGGACGGGTCACGGCACAGTGTCACGGGACGGGTCACGGGACGGTGTCACCGGACGGGTCACGGGACAGTGTCACCGGACGGGTCACGGGACAGTGTCACCGGACGGGTCACGGGACAGGTCACGGGACAGTGTCACCGGACGGGTCACGGGACCGGGGACAGTGTCACCGGACGGGTCACGGGACAGTGTCACCGGACGGGTCACGGGACAGTGTCACCGGACGGGTCACGGGACAGTGTCACCGGACGGGTCACGGGACAGTGTCACCGGACGGGTCACGGGACAGTGTCACCGGACGGGTCACGGGACAGTGTCACCGGACGGGTCACGGGACGGTGTGAAGTCTGACAATAATGTAGCGACTGGACGCTGCCGGCGCCGAGCTCGCTGACGGTGTCCTCTCGGTCCCCAGACCGGCTGCGTCTACTTCAACTCGACCACGCCGACGGACGTCAAGGTGATGATGCTGCTGTACGCCGCCGAGAAGCAGACCTACTTCGGCTTCATCCCCAACGACCAGACCGGCTTCATCGAGAAACTCAAGGAAGTCATGGCCAAGCAGAAACAGTATCTGACACTCAAGGTAGCTGAAAGACCAGACGTGTGTCCAGTACTGGGACTTCTGTTGAGCTGTACGGTAGATATGTGGTTGCAAAGTAACTCCCAATTCCAAAGTAACTATTGATGGTGTAGATACATGAAATGTACATGTATTTACTTCCGCGGCTATGTTTTACATAGCTTGTGTTTGGGTGTCTGTTAGATGAAATGTTTCTGTTGCTGCTATGATGCCTTTTTCTTTCTGCCTTTGCAGCAGAGACACCAACAACAGCAGCAGCAGCAACAGCAACAGCAGCAGCAGCAGATGGCTGGCGCGGCGCAGCAGCAGATGGCTGGGCCGGGCCAGCCGCCGCAGCCGCAGCAGCAGCAGCCACAGCCGCCGGGCGGCGCCATGGCCGGCCCGCGACCCAGCGTGCTGATCCAGCAGACCAACCCGATGACGCTGGGCGGCGGCCAGCTGTCTCAGGGCGAGACAGGTCAGTGGCCTCACAGGGCGACACAGGCCAGTCATGGCCTCACAGGGCGAGACAAACCGGTGGCCTCACAGGGCGAGACAGATCAGTGGCCTCGCAGGGCGAGACAGACCAGTGGCCTCACAGGGCGAGACAGACCAGTGGCCTCACAGGGCGAGACAGACCAGTGGCCTCACAAGGCGAGACAGGTCAGTGGCCTCACAGGGCGAGACAGGTCAGTGGCCTCACAGGGCGAGACAGATTTATTTATTTATTTATTTATTTATTTACGACTTCCGCAGACACTCCACAGTGCAGACGTGGCTATTCTGTGTCAGTTGTTACAAAGTTAAAACATGGGTAGGAAACTTGTCAAAAAAATCACAGATAGCATCACAGTCATACCTGCACGCTCACATGCACACATAAAAGCTACGACAGAACAAGTGCCTTAGCAGCGCGCTTGAAGCCCCGCGAGTCTAGCTCCATGGCCCCCACCGGCAACCGGTTCAGCAGCGACACTGCTCGGTAACCAAACGAGCGTTGGCCGGTCACTGTGCGCGTGGCAGGGGGTCGTAGGCGTGAATCCGATCGTGTCACACGCTCACAGGTTCGTGCTTCAGAAAAGGTCGTGAACAGAGAGGCGAGTTCGGCAGGCTCACCACTGGCACGCACATTGTAGGCTGTTGTCAAAGTCCTCAGCTCAAACACCTGTCGCGGCGAGAGCAGCTGCAGGTCATTACGGGCGCGAGAAATGTGGTCATACTTTCTCAAACCGGTGACGACACGAGTCGCGAAGTTAAGAACTTTTAAAAGTCTCGTATCGTTCGCGGCCGACCCGTTGCCGTACACAGCCACGCAGTACCTGAGGCGCGAGATGATCAGCCCCTGAACAACAGCTAGAAGTGCCGGCTGCGGGAGGAAATGCCTCAGGTGACGGAGACCGATCAGGAGGCCAGTGCACCTGCGAATGATGTCACTCACATGTGCATCCCAGGTGAGGTGCCGGTCAAAAATCACACCCAGGTTCCTCACTGTGTGACTCTCCCGAACGGTCTCCCCACCGATCCGTACGCTGACAGGGGCGAGGTTGCGGGTGTTTTGCTTGGTTCCAAGGAGAAGGAGTTCGGTTTTGGAGGTGTTGAGCTTAAGGCCGTGTGCATGGAACCACGATGAAAGGGAGGCCAGGGTGTTTTCCATGCGCTGGATGAGGAGTGGGATGTTTTGTTTCAAGTCGGACATAAGGATTTGGGTATCATCAGCGTACTGGATCACATGGGCGTCCGGCGCGTGCAGGCTGAGGTCGTTGGCGAATATTGTGAACAACAGAGGACCAAGGACAGAGCCCTGGAAAACTCCCATGGTGTTAGGAAGAGGTTTAGAAGCCACTCTGCTGCCGGAGGAAGTACAAATGGAGACTGACTGAGTATGACCGGAAAGGTATGCGGAGAACCAAGAAGGATCGATGTTGTAGAGCTGGAGCTTGGTTAGGAGTTGGGAATGAGGAATCACGTCAAAACATTTACTGAGGTCCAAAAGGCACAAAAGGGAGACGTGACCTCGGTCCATGTTTGAAAAGATGCGGTTTGTGACGGACAGCAGAGCGGTTTCTGTGGAATGTTGAGGACGGAAGCCATGTTGGGATGAGGATAGGAGATGATTGTGAGACATGTAAGTAAACAGCTGACGCTGCACCACACGCTCCACAATCTTGGCCATGGTGGGGACTAAGGAAATGGGGCGGTAGTTGGAAATAATAGAGGGATCGCCGGATTTGAAAATAGGATACACCAGAGAGTGTTTCCAGGTCTCGGGAAATTCACATGAGGTAAGACAGGTATTGATGATGTGGAGTAGGACAGGAGCGATGGCGTCGAAACATAGGATGAGGATACGAATACAGATGCCATCAGACCCGCACGCACCAGAACGCTTCATGGAGAACATTTCCTCCCGCAGGCCGGCCAGCGTCGTGCCGGCCACCCGAAACCCGCACGCACCGACACGTGGTAGGCGACACGGGATATCGGGTGGCGGCCCGAGGCCGGCCAGGCTAGCGGCGACACGCGGTCCAACATCAACAAAATGTTCATTCATTTCGTCGGGTGTAGCGGTGGGGAGGCTGCGCGCGCCGTCCCTCTTACCGGCCAGGACAGGGCGGATACTACGGTACAGGGAGCTGCTCCCTTGAGCTCGCAGGCTCTCCGCGATACCTGCACGGCAGTCACGCCTAATCGCTGACCTGACCCGTCTGTCAAGGTCGCGAAAGGCCGGCGTCTTCCCCTCGCTGCGCAGCACACCCCGCCGCTGTGCCATCAGATCGAGCGTGGCACCGGTGACAGGTGGAGCGGTCGGGTTCCTTATTAAAATACACTTGACAGGTGCATGAATGTCAATAACCGGAGTTAAAAGCGCAAGCATGTGGGACCACATATCGGCGACGGAATCAAATTATAAACACCAGTCCAGTCGACAGCGTAAAGATCGTGGAGCAAACTTACATGGTCGATACGCTTTAAAATGCGGGTCTGAACACGACAGGGCAGACTAGTGGCCTCACAGGGCGAGACAGGTCAGTGGCCTCACAGGGTGAGACAGACCAGTGGCCTCACAGGGCGAGACAAACCGGTGGTCCTCAGTTCAACAGTCACTCTCAGGGGCTCTGTCCAAGGCCTTGTACGCAGCTGGACCGGTCGCATGTATTTGGTAGGTTCGTTGCGACTCCGGAGTGCCCCAATGACCTGTTGTGACCCGGTGTGACCTGCCTGACCCGGTGCTCCGGCAGGCGGTGTGCGCGGCCGCGCCCCTCAGACGGCCGGGCCGGCCGGCGCGCGGCCCCCTCTGATGACGCACGGCGCCCAGTTCGCGGTGGGCGCCGGCGGGCCGCAGATGCAGATCAACATGAACCAGCAGCAGGCGCAGCCGCAGCAGCAGCAGCTGCAGCAGCAGCTCCTCCAGCAGCAGCAGCAGCAGCAGCAGCCCCGGCAGCAGATGCCCGCCAGCAACGTGCCGCAGGTCAGCCCCCTCCCCCGCCCACAATACATTGAGTCAGTGAAAACTTAACCATGATTACCCGGCCTCGAACCTCGGGGGAGCCAATATCATGATCCCAGTAATGTCACTGGCTGCTCATGAGAATCGCTATGTGCTCTTCGTTCGCTTGGTATCGAAGCTTTTTATTTCAAACATTTTGAAACTTAGGCTAGTCAATTCTATGAAGAGTGTGTGGACTGTGGGTGTGGAATATTCAGGTGTCTGTTTCGCTTTAGGCCTCCAACCGGCGCACTTGCGGACTTGATCCCTTTGTCCGCCATGAGTGTCCGGTGTGACCCTGTCTCCGCGGCCGAGTGCGGCCTCCGGTCCGTCTCTGAGTGTCCCGTGGTACAATACCCCGTGTCTGCCGCCGAGTGTGGCCGCCGGTCCGTCTCTGAGTGTCCCGTGGTACAATACCCCGTGTCTGCCGCCGAGTGTGGCCGCCGGTCCGTCTCTGAGTGTCCCGTGGTACAATACCCCGTGTCTGCCGCCGAGTGTGGCCGCCGGTCCGTCTCTGAGTGTCCCGTGGTACAATACCCCGTGTCTGCCGCCGAGTGTGGCCGCCGGTCCGTCTCTGTGTGTCCCGTGGTACAATACCCCTTGTCTGCCGCCGAGTGTGGCCGCCGGTCCGTCTCTGAGTGTCCCGTGGTACAATACCCCGTGCCTGCCGCCGAGTGTGGCCGCTGGTCCGTCTCTGAGTGTCCCGTGGTACGATACCCCGTGTCTCCGCGGCCGAGTGTGGCCGCCGGTCCGTCTCTGAGTGTCCCGTGGTACGATACCCCGTGTCTCCGCGGCCGAGTGTGGCCGCCGGTCCGTCTCTGAGTGTCCCGTGGTACGATACCCCGTGTCTGCCGCCGAGTGTGGCCGCCGGTCCGTCTCTGAGTGTCCCGTGGTACGATACCCCGTGTCTCCGCGGCCGAGTGTGGCCGCCGGTCCGTCTCTGAGTGTCCCGTGGTACAATACCCCGTGTCTGCCGCCGAGTGTGGCCGCCGGTCCGTCTCTGAGTGTCCCGTGGTACAATACCCCGTGTCTGCCGCCGAGTGTGGCCGCCGGTCCTTCTCCGATTGTCCCGTGGTACAATACCCCGTGTCTGCCGCCGAGTGTGGCCGCCGGTCCGTCTCTGAGTGTGCCGTGCTGTGCGGCAGGGCGCGCTGGCCTCCCAGCTGGCCTCTCAGCCGACGGGCCACGCCGAGCGGCACCAGAACCTGATGCAGATGCAGCAGCTGCGGCAGCAGCTGGCCAGGATGGCGCAGAAGGAGCTGCAGTACAAACAGCAGCAGGACCACGTCCACCACCAGGTGAGTCGGCGGCAGGACCACGTCCACCACCAGGTGAGTCGGCGGGAGGACCACGTCCACCACCAGGTGAGTCGGCGGGAGGACCACGTCCACCACCAGGTGAGTCGGCGGGAGGACCATAGTCGGGTCAGCAGCAGAGCAGGTGGAAGGCAGCAGCCCCTGCTCTGCTCCAGCTTAGGGGGAGACCGGCGGAATCATAGCGGTCTGTCCCGTCTTCAGACCCGTTTATTCAGCCTCGAATGTCCTCGATATCTGCACCTGCTCCAATGGCTGACAAGAACAGTGTAATGTCGGGCTGAGGAGGGTCGGACTGACGTTTGGCCCGTCAACTTAGCTATCAAGCCCGCCGCCGAGAGCTCTTCACGACAGGATTCTTTAGTCTCGGTAGCTGATAAGCTGTCCCTCGGACCCCAAGGTCGTCCTTAGGTCGTGCTACGCTGGAACCTGAATGACTCGGCTAGTCGGCATGTGAGCTTTTCGGATGTCTCTCAACATACGTATACCGACTTCAGAGCCCCGAGGGGGCAACAGGGCTATGCTATGTCCGACGTCGTCATGTAACTAACTGAGGTTTTTATCCGTCGCTGGCTGGGCAACAAACGCGTCATTCAACGTCAGTCCGTTATCGCAAAGGGGATGGGAACATACAATCTATACGACATTTCGGCGGGCCAGTGGACAATGAACATGACGAAACAGCTAACATGAGTGCCATATAGCCGCAGCTACTCTTCCAATGCTGCTGTGATGGCGTACGGAGCCAAACGCGGGTGACGTGAGCTGTGACTGGCTCCACAGCAAGATAGGTGGTCTCGCTAGTCTGCCTTGAATGTGTTAGTCAAACGGATGCATCAAAGGACAAGGCCTAAAGCTAAGTTACCGGCGGCCGGCCATGAATCCGTTTGTGGTTCGCTATACGGGCCACCGTGTCCATGACAGGTGCTGTGGTCTGCCCCCCCCCCTCCCCAGTCCCCTCCCTGCCGCCGCCCGTGCGATAAACAGCGTCACAACGATCCGTCGGTAGGTGGGGGTAGGGGGCATCCGCCAGGGAAAGGGGAAACGGATCATGGTCCGGCAACTCGGCCTGTCGGCTGGTTTCTGTAAGGCTTTGAACTAAGAACGTTACTATTAATATTGTTCTGAAAGTCGTTAGTAATTTGACTGGTAGGTCGAATCCCCCCCCCCCCCCCGAGTGCCTGGCGCCGCCTCTGGCGTGACCGCAGCGCCGGGTCACGCAGTCAGCTGACGCGCACGGCAGTCTTCCCGCGGCAGCGCCGGAGGGTGGGCGTGGCTGCGAGGGGCGACCGAGTGGTGGAGAGGGACTACACATTGATACGGTGCGACTGTTCGGTGGCATTTCTCGGTCCGTGGTGGTGCCAGCTGTACGGACTGTGGTGCTGATCGCGCGCCGCCCCGGGAGGGGGGATGACGTCAGCCCCCCAGTCGGAGGACGGGGACTGGACGGAACTCCTCAGCGAGGAATGTCGGCCGTCGCCCACCGGGGCTGAGCAAGACCTCGCGGCCGGTGATCGGAATGAGAAAGACATATGTGAGCCTACTGATTTAGTAGATCAAGGCAATGGCGAGCCAGCTGCTGAGCTCACTGCTGAAAGGGGTGGCGAGCCGAGTCGTGCACGGGGGAACGAGTTGGCTGAGCTCATTGAGGAGCTTGGTGATCTCAACTGTGTGTTGGAGTCGGGCGAGCCTGGCAGCTGTTCCCCGGTGGTGCAGGCGGAAGAGCTCAGCGAGTTGTGCGACTTTTTCACATCACAATGCTCACCGCCACCGCCAGAAAATGACGGTAATGTCAACCTTGTGGCTCACGCAAATGAAGCAGAAGCTGAGCCCGGCTGTCAATCAAGTGGCGAGAGAAATGCTGCATTATTAGGTGAACGTATTGTTGAAATAAATGAGGAAGCCGTTCAACTGGTCCAGGAACTGATTGAGGATACTTGTTTACTCGAGTCAAGAGAGCCAGCCACTGCGCGACATCTACCTCTGACTGACCAGAGCAGTGAGCCGAGCCAGTTGTTCGACTCTGAATCTCCGTCGCCGGCGTTGGAGGCCGCCCTCGGCTCGGAATCACGACCGACTGGCTTTCCGTCTGACAGCTGGCTCGTCCTCCGACTGGCCGGGGAGGGCGGCAGTGGGCTGACGGACGCAGTTGGTGGACGCAGCGGTGACCAGTTCCGCGCACTGCCTGCTGACCCCGGCGTAGGGCCGACTGGTGGGGCGGCCGGCGACTCGGCTGGGACGGCGCCACGGACCAGGGACGCCGCCGGGGGTGCGTCCTGCTCCGGTGTCAGTGACTGCGTGCAGCGGTCGGTTCCACCGCTACCGCGTGACGAGCTGGGTGAGATTCTGGAGCTCGGAAGGCTTCCCTCGCCTCCGTGGACAGAGTCGAGTGATGAAGTAAAAGGTAGAGAAGATCGCTACGTAAATCGTGTCCGGGACTTACCGAGTGGTGTTTTACTTACTGACGTGGGTATTGAACTCACTGGTGACCTGAATCCTGGTCTATTTATTGAACCAGGTGGGGACGAAAGACAGGAAGACGACATTGATATCAGGCAACATGTGTCAATCGGATCGGCCAGCTGCCACGGGTCCTCATATCCTGATCAACTGATTGGCGAACACTCGGGCCTTCCTGGGACAGTGCATCCGCCATTGCCGTCCAACGCCACGGAACAGGCCGAGTCCCCCCAATCGTCCGAACTGGAGGCACGTGTGAGTGAGACCGTGCGCGCGCAGACCGCAACAGAGGGTGCTGCTGCTCGCGGGTCGCCGCAGTCGGCTGTGGAGAATCGGGCCGCGCTGTACGGACAGCCGGGCAGCGACTCTTACCAGATAGTGGAGTCTGAGCGTCCCGCGCGGCCTCCCGAGACTGAAGGAGACGCCACACCCCGTGGTGAGCCCTGCGACTATTTGGCTGGACCGGTACACCGTGTGAGCGAGGTTAGTGGTGCGGAGATGTCAGATCAGCCCACTATTGCGGAACACGCTGGTCAGACACTGCATAGGAGAGAGCCGTGTGAACTCTTCGAGTCAGACGTCTTCCAGTTACCGACGCCGCAGCCCGAACGGCCAGCGGTGGCCGGACCGGACGTTACGGGTCACCCGCTGACCGAGAGACTCCATTTGGACGAGTCGCCCCACTCCTGCAGCTGTGGCGGTATCTCCGAGTCCGGTGTGCCGGCTGATGGCGAGTTCTCGGGGTGGGACGGTCGGCCGGTCCCGGCCGAGACTGAGCCCGGGTCGGGGCGGCCGTCGGGGCTCAGAGTGGCCGTCAGTGACCGCAGTCCTGCGCGGGACGCCGACGGGCCCAGCAGCCTGTCTTCCGCGTCGATAAGTTCAGATGGAAGTCCTGTGGGCGAGTTGTTGGAGTCTGAAGGTCTGGGCCGGGAGCCGGCACCGGCCGCGCTGAGCTCTGAGTCTGCTGAGTCGGCCGAGTTGGAACGGCCCCTGAGTGCGGGACGGGGTTCAGCCGAGTGGCGCCGGCCCGCCGAAGCGTCCCCGGAGACTCCCCCGCAGCAGCCCGGGTCCGAGCAGGGCGCCGAGTGGCTCAGTGAGCCGACAGTGCGGTCCAGTGATGAGCCGCAAGGACAGGCCTGTGAAGGCGGCCGCTTGGAACTGGATACAGAACAGACTGATAGTCTGACTCCTTCCCAGTCCGGGGAGAACATAGCCGATATTTTAGAGATGATGAACGTTTTATCACCGGACCCTGAGCAGAGCGATGAGTGTCACGAGTTAGAGGAGTTGGTTCGCCGACTGAGTGAGGTAAGCGAGAGTTATCACTCTGCCACCTCTTGACATATTCCAGGCTCCCTCGTTGACCCATACCTTCTCACTGTTCAGAACAAAGTTCATTAATAGTGTTTTGTTTGTGATTTTGTCGCTTGTTTTTTCTTTGAGATAATGAATAATGCTGTTTCGTTTGTATTAAAAAACAGTCCGGTAAGCTGTTAAGCTGTGTAGAGCGGCAAGAGATTTGGTGCCCCGTTTGACGCCTTTCCGTCTGTGTTTTTCAGTTCCAGCCGGGCGCCAGCGGTCAGATGGTTCAGGGCGCCGGCGGTCAGATGGTGCAGGGCGCCGGCGGTCAGATGGTGCAGCCGGGCGGCCAGATGGTGCCGCCGGGAGGCGCGCAGTCCGCCGCCGGCGGCGTGGTCTCCCAGCAGGGCGCCGTGCCCGTCCAGGCGCGCCAGCAGATGGATTCGGCGCCCGGACTGCGCACCCTGCTCCAGCAGGTGAGAACCGCCGGCCGGCCGGGGCGGGCTGTCACACTGAATGCTGGTCTCCCGGCGGCTTCTCTTTTGACAATTTGTTGTGGTCCTTCCTCGCCTGTCTTCAGTAACTCCTCTGCGTATCCCCGTTGTATGTCATTTTTCTTGTGATCTCGTTTTTCACACGCCCCATGTAACCCCCTATATAACTACATACTCGCACCGCACTCGGTGGTGTGACCCTCCCCAATTCCCCGTCGCCCGCCGTGTGACGCCCTGTGCCCGCTGCCCACAGAACTACCGGCCCCAGATGATCCAGCGGCCGCCGGGGCCGATCGGTATCATGATGGGCGGCCAGCCGGGCCAGATGGCCCCGCAGCAGCCCGGACAGATGGACGACCCGGGCATGCACGACTTCCTCAACTAGAGCGGCGCGCCGCCGCCGGCCGGCCGTACCGGGGGCCTGGTACCGGGCGGTGTAACGAGCCGTGTCGCCGACCGTGTGTGTAGCACCGGCCGGCGGTCGGCCGACCCCGGCGGAGGCACCCTCCCGGACGGACCGTGTGACGCGCCGGAGTCGGCCTGCGTCTCCCCCGCGGACGCCGCCGCTGGTCCCGCGCCTGGCGATGCGGCTGGTGCCGCGCCGTCCGCTGCTGCCGGCTCGGGGACTGCCGCCGCGACTGTGATCGTTGGAGCGGCTTCTCGCGCTGCCGCCGTCGCTACTGTGATCCCTGCACAAGCTTCTCCCGCTGGCGCCGCCGCCGCCGCCGCTGCTACTGTGATCCCTGCACAGGTTTCTCCTGCCGCCGCTGTTCTCTCTGCTGCCCCCAGTGGTGGCTCTCTCACTCCGCTCGCCGGCTCTGCTTCCGTTTCTGGCTGGCCCGGCTCCCCGGACAGCTCGGCTGAATTTCCGGACTTTACGGCGCTGGCGTCCGACGGTTCCCCAGCAGCAGACTCGGCCGCCGCACGGGCGCCGCCCCTGCCGGCTGTCCCGGGGGCCCGCCCGGCGGACGGAGCCCCTGACCCGGACAGACCGTGCCGTGTGCCGCCCGATGTGCCGGAACCGACGGCCCGCTCCATGCCGGACTTCCTGGACCTGCTGGGCAGCCCTGCTGAATGTCGACCGAGGGTCGGGTCCGATGACAGCCCTGTCGGCCCTGAGGACGTGGTGCCGGCGGACAGAGCGAGTGGGCCGGCTGACCCAGCGGACGGCACGGCGCCCGCCGACACGGGGACGCCGAGCTCACAAACAGGTCTGGCCGGCGCCTCTGGGGACCCGGCTCAGCCCACGCGAGGTGACAGTCATTTAGCGAGACATGCTACTCTGCCGCCAAGGGATCGCGCTGCTAAGCCCAGAGGAACGTCCATTTCCTCTGGGGACTCTGCGCACGTGACTAGAGCTCGCCTGACCGGACGTGCGGCAAAGTCGAAGAGCAAGTCTCCCGCTCCCAGCTCTGAAGACTCTGATCCGGCAGCGGAGGCCAGCCGTCGTCCTGGCGCGGCCAAGAGCTGGAACTCGGAGCTGTTTGCTCACCTGCCGGACCTGGCGACTGTGATGGCGAGCCCGCCTGGGCGCAGGAGGTGTCCCTACTGCCAGCCCCGCCCCCGGCCGGCCGAGCCCGACTCCGACCCCGCCGGCGGTGATGCCACAGGCACCGCGTCAGGCACATCCATCGTGATGGAGGCCTCCGGCATCACCATCCACATGCCGGACGTCTCGAACCTCGCGTCTGGCGCCGCGGTCCCAGCTGGGACGTCAGGGCGCGCGGCCCGAAATAGGGGTACGGCCCGGCTGCTGACCGGCACGGCGCGGAAGCTGAAGGATAAGGTGCGCAGCAAGCCCCGCAGAGCCAAAGGCACCCCCACCGCGCCGAACAGTACGGTCCGAGGGAAGGACAGCCGGCCCGTGTCGTCGGGCAGTGTGGGGACCAGGGTGTTCCTGTGTGAGGGCACGCGCGCCAGTCTGGTGCCGGCGAGCGAGTCGGGCGCGGCGCCCGGCGCGCGGGAGTTTATCCTGGTGCGCAGCGCCGACCGTCAGAGCGCGGCGCTGCGCGCGCCCCACGGAGCTGTGCTGGCGGTGGCGCCGCCCTGCGCGGCCTTCGCGCCCGTGCGCCGTCTGCCCGCGCTACCGGTGCGTCAGGGGCGCACGTCGCGCGCGTCAGACGGCGAGGAGCTGGTCGGCGCGGAACCGCCCGGCGGGCCGACTACAGTGGCCGAGCTGACCGGCGGCCGGCTGCTGGCCGTCCGGCCCGGCGAGCGCGTGCTGCGGCTGGAGGGCGCTGGAGACGTGACGGCCGGCGCCGAGCAGACGCCGGCGACTCTCGGAGCCGCCGCCGGGGGCCGGGCGCGCCCCCGTCTGACTGTCAGCACCGGGAACACTGCCCGTGCGGCGGGTGGTACGATTGACGCACTAGAAGCGATGGGCCACTCGAGAAATGCACCCCGCTGTCCGAGCGGTCGCACCCCTGTGTCGAGAGGCGCTACTGGCTCACGAGAAAGAAAAGGTCGCGGGCCTAAAAGCAAAGACAGTACACCAGCGAGGAAAGCTGGCACTCCAAAACTAGCAGTGGGTTTTTCGAAAAGGAGAGTCCGCACTTTGAAACACAAAACCAGCACCTCAAACGATAAAATCAGCTCACCTAAGGGCAGAGCAGCTACCGCAAAAGGTAAATCATGCGCGCCGAAAAACAACGCAAGCACATCCAGGGGCAAACCCAGCAGTAAAGGGAACGAATACGGTGGTAAGAAGACTTCTAAAAGCAAAAGTGGTACACCGAAAAGCAAAACATCGATTTCAAAAGAAAACGCCGAGATCCTCTACGGCAACGCTTGCAAATCGAGGAAGACGGGCAACAGCTCAAAATCCAAAGCTGCCACCTCTAAAGATAGATCTGCCACCTCAAAACGTAGTGCCGCACCTAACTGTAAAGCTAAATCCAAGGACAAAGCCAGCACGCCAAAGTCCCAGGCCCGATCACCAGTAGGCGCGTCTCGATCGTGTAGGGGTGCTGGCAGTTCGGGAGGCCGGGGGCGCGCGGTGGGGCCGGGGCCGGCGGTCGGCGGCGCCGCGGTCCCCCCGGTGGACCCGGCGGCGCCCGGCTGGATGCCGTCCACCACCGTGGGGGAGCTGGCCCAGGTCGGCGGCCTGTTCGAGTCCGACTGCTCCCTGGACGACTGTGAGGAGGCGCTGCTGGCGGGCGCCGGAGCCGCCCAGAGGAGGCCGGTCTCCGACTTCAGCAGCCTGTCGCTGGCCACGCACTCTGTCTGTCCGCCGGCTGTCCGTGAGCTGGCAGGGAAGTCGCAGGTGTCTCCGCCGGGCGCGCGCAAGAGGAAGCTGACTGACCGGGACGGGCCGTCGTCCGTGTCCCCGGTGGACCTGGCCGTGGATCTGCCGGTGGATCTGCCGGTGGATCTGGCCGTGGAGCGGACCCGGTCGGAGGGTGAGGTGGCGCGGCTGGCGGTGGTCCCCGCTCGGCCGGGGCCCGGCCCGGGGCAGCGGCTGTCCGCCGGAGGTGGGACGGTCAGTGTGACGCAGCCGCAGCGGAGGAGCGAGCTGCGCGGGCCGCGTAGTCTGCCGGCCGGTGAGTCAGGTGACCCGGTCGGACAGGGCCACTGGCTCGGCGGGCTGAGTGAGGGGCTGGAGCCCCGGCTGCCCAGCGGCCTGCCGGCGCCGCCACACGCCGAGCGGAGCAGTGGGGTGGGCGCGGGGGCCCCGCGGCGGAGCTCGCACGCCGTGCCGAGGAGCGAGTTGACGGAAGGAGCGGAGTGCCGGCCCGGGTCTGATCAGCGCTCGGGGCCGCGTGCCGTCCAGTCTGTCCCGCTCCGTCAGGTCACCGAGAGAAGCCGCGCTCTGCCGTCACCGGCCGGCCGGGCCGGCAGGCCAGTCGCAGCAGCCAGATGGGAACCGCCGCGGGGGCATCGCGCAATTCCCTCAAAGAAGTATCCGTCAACGAAGAGGTCGCGGCAGATGATTGTTCTGGGTAGAGTGCCGCCGGGGACCGAGGGGAGGCGGGGCAGATCGACGGGTACCGGCGCCGGGTGCCGGTCGGCGCCGGACCCCGGCGGCGCCGGGCCGGCAGACTCGCCCAGCTCAGACGACAGTCTGGCGTCTCTGTCGGGCGCCGACTTTGTCGTGCAGCTCCCAGGCCTGGATTAATCGCCGACCGGTCAGGTGGGACCCGCCGGGACTGCGGTGACGGCAGCTCAGGGGTCCGACCGATCTCTGAGCTGGAACACAGGGCTCGCGGAGCTGGAGCGGGCCAGTGGCGGGCGGAGCGTCTGGGCGCGGCTGTGTGGAGAGTTGGTGTGTGATCCTCGGCTGACGGGGCGGCGCCCGATCCCCGTCCGCGGAAGGAGGGCGCTGATCTCCGGCGGCGTCTGAGGGTGCGGCAGCGCTCACGGCGGCTGGCTTCATGTGATGGTGTGTTCATACCGGGACCGGAGGTGTGGCTGTCGGACGCGGCTGGCGATATTAGTTCCAGCTGATTTAGGCGTGCAGGCCACGGGGGAACGTATGCTGGTTATTATGGACTATGGAGTGAGGTGGGTGTGTGATTTATAATGGCGATGAGTGTCATTTACTGTACAAATGTTTTAGGTAGTGTCCCCTTGCGACGCAAGCCCGCTATCTCGCAGCCCTTTCTAGCGGACTGGGCGAAGTACGGTCTGTGCTTTGTATGTGACTTGTCCAGAGGCTGTGGGCAGCATTCAGGCGGAGTCTTACATTAGCAAGAGTACCGATAGTGGCTCTAGTGATTTCCTCTCCGCGTCACACAGGACTCGGCCGCCAACTGCATGGAGGCTGCCAATATTTATCGCGTGTAAGTACCTAAGCATCTGTCCTTGACTTGTCATGTGCTTGAACCGTCTCGTGAAAGTTGAAATAAACCTTCCAATGAACTCAATGTAGTTCTGATACTGGTTATTGTGTGCTGAGCACGATCAGACGCCAATGTAGCACTTGGGTGCTGGTATCTGAAGAGCATGCAAGCCGGGTCCACCCTGTGCCGATCCATACGCCGACTTATAGCAGCGACTGCGCTGACACCTAGTGGGGGATGGTGTAACTAACTGCTTACAATCTTATTCAAAGATGTCGCGCCCAACGCTACCGAAGTGTCTGTTGTGCATATTTTGTTTTTTGATTGAAAACAAAGAACAATTTACAAAATCCTGAAAGTAAGCAATGTAAACGTTGAGCAAAAAAATTCTTAGCATATCGCTTTGTAGGAGATAGCTGTCGGTCAAATGTCACGTGACATTTGACCTTGACTCGGCACCAGAATTTGATGACAAATACTGCGCGGTTAATACATTTGATGGCGTCAACAAACAGCCCGCTGCGGGGTGGTCAGTGGCAAGGTGTCAGTAGTCAATACCTACCAAAGGATACAATTCAAATTGAGTGTGTTTAAGTTCAGAATTGGTAAGTGGTTTGTTCTAGG